GGGTGTTAATGTTTATTGTTAAAAACCAGAGAAGAAGAATCTTCATGTGCATGAGAAGTAAAATGTGAAGAAGTCCTCAGTCTTCAAGCAACACTGAAACAGAACGGTCCATGGGGGGATACTTAGCCTTTCTATTTCTAGATACAGTGAATTAAAAAGATTTGCATGGCCATCGTTAACAGGTTTTCTTGGTTGATGGTTGATAAAATATAATGGCCGGGGTTGAAATGGGCAGGATATCGTTTTACGCAGCGCTATAGAGAAAACGCAATGGGGAAAACGGAAAGCGGCCATTTGTACAGGTGTTCATATTATACGGTGGGGTCGTCATGGCAGGTTCAGTGACCCTTGTTTGTTGATGCACTTTTATTCAATTTTATTACAATTACCTGGCCAGAAATTATGAGTAAAAGATTAAAACTATATTTCAGTATTACAGGAGAGATTGAAGAAAGGACAAAGAATCAGCTCTTTCACTTACCAGTAGCTGCTCAAATCTTTCATTGATCTCGAAGTCGGCCATGGAGGTGACATCCACTGAGTCAGTGAACGGGTCACCGCCATTGAAGCCATGGTCATCGTAAGAATAGCCCTTGGACGGAGCTGACGATGTGCTCTTGTGTTTTGTCTTACTCTTGAATGGGGCTCCAACTTTGTCAAACTGCAGAATAAAAACGAAAAATTGAAACTTTACGTGATAGAAGAAGAAATACCTGAAACGAACTAAAACAATTTTTTTAAAAGCTTTTGAAATTATCTGTCCCATTGCAAAGATAAAGAGAAGAATTTGAAAATGAACTTAACCTGTTAAACAGCTGCAAAAAACATGCATCATGTGTAGTCATGCCGATGGCAACAAAAATTGCAACATAGAGAAATAAATTCCAAATTCATTTTTTTCTGATATTCCATCCTTACATGCCCACAGCAATATTTAAGATGATTTAAAGAAAAAAATATGGAACAAAAAGGAGTAAATACTGTCAGGAATAATCTCTTTTCAGCCATCTATTTATTTCTTGTGAGTAAAAAAAAGCCCATGAATTTTCTTTATTCTCCTCTGCCCAGCAAAATTACAATACAACTTTCAATTACAACTCTTTTCCTTTCCAAAACAGAAAATCCTCACTTAAATGCAGAAAGTCTTCCACACGTTTAATCAAGCTCAGTTCTAAATTAATTACACTACACACATACTGCATGACAAACTCCTTGTGCACTTTGTCTTTTGGAAGATTTTAAATCACTAGGAAATCTAGAAAACAAAACCCTTGACTCTAGAAAAATCATGGAATATATTATTATATATACATGGCCACCTTTATTGGGTGAGAATAACCCATGTCTCGCTCTTTTCACCCCGGGTGAGAATAACCCATGTCTCGCTATTCTCACCCCGGGTGAGAATTTATAACCCATCCATGTCTCGCTATTCTCAC